ACGAAGTGCCGATTCCTCCCCCCCTTGATCCCTGGTGCTGACCTTGGCTCCAGGACGTGACGGAAGAAGTCGAGGGGGAGTGGACAAAGCAGCTATCAGAACAACACGCAAGGCAGGGAGGTGTTGCTGGTGTTCACCCAAAGGCACAAGGTGGATGGGGTCACGAGGTCCTACACCATCATGCCATGCCATAGCTTCTTTTGGGGCAGGCCTGGCCCCGGGCATGTCAGAAGACCACTGGCTTGCCCAAGACCTGATTCACGTTTCCACTAGATCCCATCTTTGTCTCTGTGTGTTAGGGCAAACCTTTTGCAGGGCACTTCTTAGATCTGGATTAGCTGGGCTCAGACATTAGCTGTCTTTGTGGCTTAGCTGAGGCCAGAGGGGTGTAAGGCAACAAGAGTTGTCCAAGCTGGGAGCTTGGGTGGGTGGGTGGGCAGACTGAGAAAGAGAGCAGACCTTCCACACGTGTATGGTTAAGAGAAGAGCATAAGGAACTAATATGCAGAGGAACGGCAAAAAAGGGGGAGAAATACCCCCCCGCTCTGCTAAGAAGTAACTCAGTTTAGATGCTTGCATTGAGGCAGAAGTCTCTGATCTCAATGACATTTGGCCACAACCAGTTAATAGGAAACTACAAAAAAGTGAAGTCGTCTGCTTTGCTGACACAGAAGTGACGTGTGGCTCAGCTCAGAGATGCTGATCTGATGTTGCTCTCAGTTGCCATCATCTGCCTGCCACAGCAACAGCATTTAAAAGAAAAGAAGAAACAACAGGACAAGGAAAGAAGGATTTCTGGCTGGTGGGCAGCCTGACAGTGAGCCCAGAGAAATCAGTCTTCCATGGCTCCAGGTATGAGCAGCTGAAGCTACTCATGCCACTGGAGGAGCACGTCAATGAGCCTCAGGCAGCAGGGTGGACCCTCTCCTCCTGACCAGCAGGCTAGACATGGAGACACGTCTTTCCAGGTTGGCCTCAGGTCAAAAGCCTCTCAGGGATGGTGAGGACTGCATCGTCTCTGCAGCAAGGGCACTGGGCTTCCCCCTCCCTCTTCAGCTGGAAGAGGCAGACGTTTGCAGCAAAGGCCACTGAAGCTGATGAACCTGTTAGGTGCCTTTGGGGTAGGCCATAAAAAAACATTCAAGATCTGGCTGGACCCTTTTCCCACAAAATCAAAGTATCCCAATGGAGAAGGATAATCGTAGTGTAGGATGAGGACCAAAACTCTGGAGCCTATTGAGTGAGGAGGGGGTCTCTGCCTTGCCAATCTCAGAGCAGCATTGTCTTTCTGCAGCCACCACTGGGACAGTCAGTGGAGAACGTGGCTGATGGAGGATGCGGTTAGTAGCTCTGGAGCTTAATAGGCACAGTTTCCAACCTCATCGTCTTTGCTGCGAAATGCCTTCAAAGCTTAGCTAACGAAAATGTCAGCCCTGCCCTTGTTCTGGGGAGTAAAAACAAAAGATGGAGTGGGGTATCTGGACTGGCTTTTAGTCATGGATTGCTCTCCACTGTGGCAGACATTACTGTCCAGGCAAAAAAGCAGATTAAATTCATGAATCAAATATTCTTGAAGCATTTTATGGGCGATGCTTGTCGCTTCCAATGCAAATGTGATCCAGACCAAACTGCAACTTGGGAAAGAGAAGGAAGATGTAAGATGGAAGATGTAAGAAAGAGAAGGAGTAGTCATTAATAGGCACTGCTAATGTGAGATCCTCCATTATGTTGAATAGGGGTGAGCGCCTGCGAGCCAGATTCTGGTGCTGGGCATGCCGAGTTACTTGGAGTAAAGCTGCTTAGCTGGTGTCAGCAGGGTGACACTGGATTTACCTTGTGTACGCAAGATCAACATATGGACTTGGAAGGCAGTCCCCACCAAAGCCCCTTTGTGGCTAAGTACGATGAACAGGAGAGGGTAAACTTGAAAATAGGTAGCTCAGAGATGAAATGTTCTGTTGTGCACTGTTACTTGTTTGCCAGGGCTTTCTGGGCTCCACCAGTACCATGCTCAGCAAGGACTGGCTCTTTGTTGTTCAAGTTGGTTCGAATATGCCAGCTGTATGATTTGATGACTGCTAATAAGCATAGATTTGCTGAAGTATTCCCCAAAGTCTTTGCTTTGCCATCAAAATCCTCATCAGCAATTGGATTAGTTGTAGGGAATGAACAGTTACAACACAAGATAGTGAATTATGTTAAGACAAATTGATGGATTTTATTTAATCATATGGTCTGGGTCACATCTTGATAGTATTTTTCCCATGGAGCGAAATGCATCATTGCACTGGTAGGTATCAGAAAAAATACTAAAAAATGTTTGTTTTAATTGACTAGTGCCTAAAAATAAGGCAAATTAACTCTCTGTACCAAAACAAAATGGGTTAGGCTTTTACTTTAGCTTAAGTTGACTCTGCATGCGCCCTGCATGCCTTCCTGCCCAGATACCAGAGGTGAAGTTTGTGTTTTCTGGACCACAGGGAAATGTATGACCAAGTACCTCACAAGGACTGTTTTGGTGTGGGAGGAAAAATTCAAGTCAAAAGCTCTGACAAGGTCATCCGCCCACGCTGTCCTCTCTAGTTCATCATGGCTCTGGCCTCAAAGGTCCTGCAGATGTTTCACTAAATCAGACTAAGGCCTCTCAAAATACAGCAAAAGGCTGGAAATCCTTAGCTAAGGTTGCACCAGGCATCAAGAGATGATAGAGACGCAGAGGATGAGAGACTGGCTTTCTCTGCTTTACTTATGTACTACAAAATTTCTCCTAGTAAACATGGGGGAATACCACTATACTTCATTGTCTTACGTCCCCCTAAGCCAGTTTTGTCTGAAATACAGCTAAACTGCTGCCTGGTGGCACAGGCTGGTGTGTTTGGTTGCGCAGAGGGAATAGCACTTTAACCTGCTCTGGTACCTCATTGTCAGGTGCCGTGAAGACCTAGAGGTGCAAAACAGCTCACCTGTGACTTGCCCATAGCCATTAGAGGTTGAGCAACTCGCCATGAGTTGCTCTGCAGGTACCCAGCAAACACAGCACTTAGGAGGCATCTCCTCATGATTACGGTGTTGCTCAGCTTGAGCAATGGGCCAGGGGAACCCGGGGTCCCCATTTCGTTACTTGGCCTTTACCTGTCAGTGGGGTACGGTGAACTGAGGCCAAGCCGATGGCAGCAAATATAACCTTGCAGTACCAGGGGATGGGATACATGGATGGCTCACGAGTCTGGGTCTGCAGCTCCATCACTGGGGAACGGTGGTTCTGATCTCACCTCCTGTGGTTTTAATTAATAGGGGAGCCGAATCATGCTGTTATCTGACAGCATGAGAAATTATCTCCTTAAGAAGTTCTCCTGCTGGTGGCACATGCATTTGTTACCCGCTGCCTCTCTCAGACGGCACGCTACGGAGGATTAGTTTGTATTTAAGAGATGCTGTGTGTAATTACTTATGCACAGTTTTGCAAACCATTCGTTTCTGTTAGGTCCTCTCCTGTTGTTTCATTTGCTGGCATCTGGCTTGCTTTGTGCATCTCCTGTTTCCATACGGACGTGAACAGAAAGCACTTGGGGCTCTCCCAGCTGCTGTGATGGACGGGCCCTGCCTGCTGGCAGAAAGGAGGTGTGAGCAGAAGCGATCTGGGTGAAGAAGGCATCATAGGCACATCTGTCCTGTGTCTCGGGATGACACTCAGTGTCTCTCGGTGCTGTTGTTCCTGAATTGAAAAAAAAAGAAAAGAGTTTTTAGGAAGATGAGGTGTTCAAAAGACGGTGCAAAAGGGTAGGTGTACTACCCTGGGGCTGATCCTCAGCAAAGAGGCATCTCTAATAGCCTCACTCGAGTCTCATCCTTCACCTCTGACCTGCTTCTCTCCCTAGTTTAAGAGCCAAAAACATTTCTGTGATACCTGTAAATGCTCCAGGAATGCAGGAATTAATGTGCCAGGTTGGGCCAAGGGCCCATCCAAGCAAGGATCTTGAGGGAGGTGCAAGCCAGTGCCAGATGTTTCACAAAAAGCCTCTGCTACGGATCTCTGTCACACCTCATTTCTTCCTCATTCCCATCAGTTTCATGGCTGGTCTCGCAGCAGTCCCTGTTGTGTTTCCCACCGCCGCACTCTCCCTCTGTGCAGTTCATGAGGGTGGGCTACTGAAGGGTCTCAGCAAAGATGCACAGCCTTAATCTCATCTCTCAGAGGTGGAAAGTGTCTCATTCACATCCTACATTCAGCAAGAGACAGTGTCTCAGATATTATTTCCTTGCCTATAAGACATGTTTCGACAGGAAAAGAAATACCTTGAATTGCATGGGAACTGAGCAAGCTTGAAAATCTTCATAACTCATGAAAATATACTTTAGAAAACACATTTTTTTTTTCTTTTTCTAAAATGCTGAGGCTTTTTCATAGAATCATGGAATGGCTTGGGTTGGAAGGGAACCTTTAAATGTCACCTAAATCCAACTCCTCTGCAATGAGCAGGGATGTCTTCAACTGGATCAGGTTGCTCAGAGCCCCTCACCTGGGATGTTTCCAGGGATGGGGCATCTACCACCTCTCCGGGCAACCTGGGCCAGTGCTTCACCAGCCTCAGTGTGAAAATCTTCTTTATTATATCTAGTCTGAATCTATCATCTTTTAGTTTAAAAGCATTACCCCTTGTCCTACTGCTACAGGTGTATTAAAACTTTTGTTCTTTTTCTCTTTAAGACAGGCAAACCAGAACAAGCTGAAGCAGTTTTCATCAGTATACACTTCAATTTGGAGCCAAAAAGCCGCTTTGAACTCGAACCTATGTTTTGGTTCCAATGTTTTTTGGAGGAGAAAAACTATTAGTCAAAATCAACATTTTTCCATGTAATCAATGTTAACTGACCTGTTCTCTTTTTTTTTAACCCTTCTGGCAGAGGAGAGAAACAGCTGTTTGCCCAATTCTTCCCTGGATGGGCAACCACGGGGCTGGGGTGGTGCCCCGCCCACCACTGGCCCCCGTGACGGCCATGCTCTTCTCTTCCAGGTGCTCCTTTTCAAAGGTCTCAGCATCCCCATGCTACCTCCTGCCGGCACTTCCACCTGGGTCCCCAGCCTCAGCTCTCCGCCGACTTCACCCTGCCTCACGCGGTGCAGCCCCAGCCGGGGCTGACCCCCCACATGGCCCCCGCGCACCAGCACAGCGGCCCCTTGCACCAGCCCCTGGCACCAGTGCCAGCCCTGCCCTTCCAGGACGTGGCCGGTCCCTCCTTCCTACCTCAGGCGCTTCACCAGCAATACCTCCTCCAGCAGCAGCTCCTCGAGGCACAGCACCGCCGGCTCATGCCCCATCCCAGGTAAGGGTGTCTTACTCTTCCTGAAGGACGCCGAGTAGCCACATCAGCCTCACTTCAGCAAAGTGGCTTCTGCAAAACTCCGGCGGTACGTGCCGGTAACGTTGGGTTTTTTTCACAAGTTCATTTGTGTACCTCCAAAATTCATCCACCAGAAGGGAAGCTGCAGGGCAGGTTGCATCTGCGGGTATACCTTTCCCATGGGGATCCGTACCATGCTCACCTAGTATGTCCCAAGGTCGCCTGTAAGACAGTAACATCACGATGGTAACACCTTGGTCTTGCAGTGAGCCTGACCTGCGTGACAGAGCGAGAGGTAGACGGCACGCACGAGCTACCTCCTCGTAGCTGCTGTTTCAAAACCGCGTAAGAGATTGTATCCACCTACACCGTCAGGTTTCGCACATGACGAGCTTGCTCCGCTGGGTCTAGGTAGGCTTCCCAACTCTGTGAGGGAACGATGCTGTTGACCTGCAGCATTTCAATCACGGAAAGCAAGCCTAAATTCAGACTGGGCTGGCGGCTGCAGAGAGAATTACTGTAACTCAGCAGAGGTGGAAATGGGTGCCTCGCCTTGTCCTGATTGTGTTTCTTGAGAGAGGGGTTTAGACAGCACGTAGGACAGGAGTGCTTTTTTTGGAAACATATGGAAGCTATTTGTGGGTTGTACCCATGGACCAAGAATCCGAGGATGACTCTTTGCGATAACGCTTCATTTGGAAAGAATGCTACAGACGGAAAACACTTTCTTCCCATACCCTTTCTGCCTGAAAATTGTGCGTTCTTCTCCCCCTTGTTTTGTTCAGCATAAGCTGGATTTTAGGTGGATTTAAGGATTAGTTAATAATTGAGTAGCAAATATGTGTGAGGCTGAGGCATTGATGATACAAGTGTTTATCTCTTAGTCATAAGCTGAATTCAAATACAGGCACGGAGCACAATTCCACGCAGAAGCTGCTTTGGTAAGTGCTGCCAGTGCTACATTTGCAAGCGGGCTGTGGGGAGGAAAAGGGCAGAAATCTCCTGTCCAGTCCCACAGCCTGTTTCTGAAAACCCAGCTGCATCCGAGGAGGGTGTCAGAAACCTTACAGGTGTGGGGCATGACATCCCAGTAATGGCAATCTGGGTCATGCCTTCAAAAGCAAAACCTCTGAGCTGTGGCTGCATGAAAAACTCTTTATCTAGCAGCTCCCTGCTCCATCTGCTCTAGTGGTTTCCTATAGCTTTGCTTTGTGATGGCTCCACTGGTAAGCAGGGACTCGGCAGGGAGCAAGGGGTTTGAGTCTGTCTGTTGTGCAAATCCGGCTCATGCATCCACCTTTGTATTTCTCCAAACATGGACACCGAGCAAGCAGCACATGCTCTTCCCCTGAGTATTTCAAGCAGGCAATAATCATGAGAGGAGACTTGAATCCCTCGAAAAGCCTTGTTATATATTCTACCGCTTTTCCCTTCCCTGCCTGCAAAGGCAGCAGAGCTGGGGGAGAAGGAGCTGAATCCCAGCCTGGCCTGTCCATCATCCAGAGAAATGTTGGCGAAGGCCAGCGAGAGTAAATTCTGCTTTCAGTTACTCCTGAGTAATCCTGTTATGAATGAGGTTCCCCAGGAGTTTATGGACTGCATGGGGAGACGAGACAACCTGCAGCTTCTTTATGATGATGGATAACGGCTGAAGCAGGGACATGTTTTATCTTGTGTGCTGTTCATGGGGCTGACAGTGGAGAAAAAGAAAATAGTGCAAGTGGCACATAGCTGCTAAAGAAGAAGTTGTTTGTTTCCGCTTGCTCTCCATGTTGCCACCAAACAACATCTCCTGTAAACTGAGTGCACGTGGATGCTGCAGGGGACGAGTGGAGGTCTGTGTCATGTCCATGGTGACGAGTAAATGACATAGCTCTGAGTTCCTCATCATCCCTGACACCTGCCTGTACTCTTCTCTTGGACACATATTCAGAAGCCCAACCGCTTGGGTTTTCCCCCAGTTTATTGACAGGGACTCAGAGCAGCAGCCATACGGACCAGTGCCTTGGCCACGTGGCTAACTCGCTTGCTGGTCTCCTCCTCCCCGCAGGCGGGCTCAAGAGCGCATGTCTGTTCAGCCTCACCGTCTACACCCCAGCTTTGACTTCAGCCACCAACTGCAAACACCACAACCCATGGGGCCCCAGCCCAGGTATTTAGCTGAAGGCACAGACTGGTAAGTTTTCTGCATTTCACTAGGGTGTTGAATGAGGTGTTTAAAAAATCCTGGGGAGGCTGCAAGGGTCAGTGAATGTCATCACGGATCAATTCTTTCATGACAACTAATGGTTCAGCGCAACAGGCACAATGTGGGGACTGTGCGGTGGGAAAACTCATCTCTGGGAAGGCCATGAATGCGTGCTAGAGCCTTTATGCATGTACATGATAACATCGAGGCATCAATGCTGCCCATAACTCTCCATCCATGGATTTAGAATGTAGCCAAGCATTAATCTTCCTCCAGGGTATTTTCTTGCTGCAGGGTACAGCCAGGATCTTTTTCATTTAGATCAACATCTCTGCCTGAACTACATCTTCTGCTGTCCACCAGGCACTCAAAAAACAGTGTCCACAACTATTTCTGTGGTCTAACTTAGGGAGAACGGTGCTGCCCTGCACCGCCGGGTGGTGTGAATGAATTAACAGTTGTTAATCGTTCCCTCACTGTAACGTTCGATATCCTGGAAAAGGTGAGCACGTAAATGATCAGGTAAATGAAAAATGATCCTTTCATTTTCAGAGCGGGTTTTGAGCTCTTGCACAGTTAATAAAGAACTGGACCCTACTTGGAAGAATAAGAAAATAAAAACATACTTCTGAGTAGCTGCTTATTAGCTGAGCAAAGTCCATTCTGTGCACTGAATGGAAAAAATAGCATGTGAACATGTAATTAGAGACAATGGCAATGTGTATGCACAAGGGGACTGCAATAAAATGTCACAGGAAATCTTAATTATGGCATTTCCTAACATCTGAGTGCTTCGCTCTGCAAGTGGAGAGTCCTTTTAACACAGGGGGGGTGTTTCCCCCTCTGGGGTAATAATATGCAACCTAAAATATGGCCAGACCCTTCTGCCATTTTCTTCTCAGGTGTTCCCATTACTGGCACCACTGTGAGCTGAATTTGGCCAGGATGACATTGTTCAGATCAGTTTGCAAAGCGGTTCACGTACCATCTGGATAGAGCCATTCTTCCTGCCTCTCTTTCGGCTCAGAGTGTTTAATTATAATCATTAGAAGGATCTGATAAAGCATTGCTTTATGTTCCCCTCCTCCTCCCTCCTTTTTCCCCCTGTGTTGCTCCTAAGGAGTGCGGATGAGAGAAATCGTATACCGTGTATACATATTTGGGTGACTCACTTCCCCTTGGGCCCGTTTTGCCCAGTAACAGATACAAAAACTTCCCTCTAATGTGTTGCCACCCCGTGGGCAGCATCGGCGCTCGCTCGGAGGCGGTAGGCACTGTCGCGGGAAACGGGGATGGAAGGAAGATCTGAAGGTGATCAGGCATCTTGGACAGCCCAACCCTGATTAAAATCTTACAGTGAAGAAGAAATAAACTCCCATTTGGTTCCTTAAATCATCTGCATACGTATTTAGTGACAGCCATCTGACTGTTATCTGGAGCCTTATCCCTCAGTTTTTGGGTGTTGGCAGCCCATGTACCGTAGGCATCACAGCTCTTGAACCTTGCATCTGAGCATCAAGATGCTGTGCAGTTGTCCACATAGCACAAGCTAGAAGGTGATGGTTAGTTTTGGTTTTCCTCAGCTAATGTGCTCTGCTTATTCACCCCCAAACCCTGGGAGAACACCGTTCCTTGCAGTATCCTGCTTTGGGCCCTTCTGTAGACCCACGGCATCGCTTCAGGAGCCTCGACATCCGATTTTAAAGCTCTAGATGGACCAGTGCACAAACAGTTCAGCAGTGCTGTTATTGCAATTACTTGTGCAAGTTAAGAATGGCTGTTCATCTTTGAGAGACCTCTTTGGTCCTTGATCTCAAACCACTCTGTGGATTACCACATCTATTTTGTAGACAGGAAATATGGGAAGGCAGAGAGGAAACAGTCAAGGTCATGCATCAGGCCAGTGGCAGGGCTGGGAATGGACCCAAAGCCTCCTGATTTGCAATCGAGCCTTCCATCCACCTGGGAACAGTCTTCAGTAATTGGATAAATACCCAAAATTGTGACACGGGAGCTGGAAAATACCCAGTCCTGTGGATTCTCACCCTGATTGTGTTCCGGCCAGTCGCCTGCTGTGTTTTATCCTCTGCCAAGTTTTGTCTGCCTAGCACATGGCTAGCACAGGGCCACCAAAGGCAGTCCCTCTCTTTGCTTCAACTTGGGGCAGGGTGTCTTATTCGGGGTACTAGAGTACAGGAGCTGCTGCCTGGTACACAGGCTGTTCTGGGTAAAGGATTTCTGCATTTACTGTCCCCTCACGTCCGTTATCTGCTGTTGGGCGAAAGCAGTTTCACAGCTGCTGGACGACACGTCTGGGTTGCTCCTAACAAGCCGTGGCGCTTGCTGCTGCTGTCCTCTGTGCGGGGAAAGAGAAGTTCGAGGCCGAAATGGGAAGCCACCCCTGTGCTCTAATTAGCTTTGCTTTGGCAAATGTGAAGACAGCGGTTATTAGAGCACCGGCTTTTGTAACGATGATAAAGTGAATGACATTCAAAGTGCTTGTTTGCTGAGAGACTCTTTGGCTGGAGAGACAAGGGATCAGCTAATTGGATTATAGATGGAGATGCTGCATTGGGCCTCCTCCCGTCCCCTCCACACGGCATGGCAATGGGGTTGCCGTTTGTCTCTGCCTGCTGGATTGGGCAGGTCTTGGTCATGCCAAGTCCTGGGATGGAGCTGGGTTATTTTTCTGGAGGAAAAAAGTGCCCAAACTCACCAAGCTGAGTCCCAGCTCTGGCTCCCTGGGCCAGGCTGCATGCTGGCAGGTGGGACCATTGGGGATGTCCTGCTTCATTGGTGTTGGCCCGCTGGTTGTGTGACATGTTTCCTACAGCAGTCTCATCCAGAAATTTCCAAAAATCTTTACATTTTCTGCACAAACAGCAGTTCCGGAGTTCCCTGAGGCTGGGTTCAGGTGAGGTACAGTCTCCCTTGTCTCCCCGAGTCCTACCGTGACCTGGGCTGGGATACCTACAAGGAGAGCACAGGCCCATCAAAAAGCCCCCGGACAGTGCCCACCTGGCTCCTAACAACCACCCAGAGCGGCTCATCAGTGTGTCCCCTGACTAGCTGTATTCCTACAAAATATTCAAGGCAAAATGTAATTGTTTGCAGTGATGGCAGCACAGGGAGGACCTGGTCTGGCCAGGTTGAGTTACCGAGCCTGGGTATCGATTGGAGCCACCAAAATGATCTTGCTCTGAAATTAGCAGGCTGCATCTGTGCAGCCCTTGACCTCGGCTAACACAAATGCTAACTGGCATAAAAACAACGCCTCACTCCTTCGTGCTGGCCTGGTGGGTGACTGCCCAAATTGGAGGAAATACGCTTCCAAGTGGTAGCATCACCCCAGGTTGAGGAACCCACAGCAGCCCAGAGCCCACCTGTGGAGGTTGCCCTGTGAGCATGATCCGATGTGCTGTAAGCCATGCAGTAAAGCTGTGCAGTCAAAGCCATGTCTTCATCCTCATGCCCACAGGGACCTCAGTGTCGATGCAGGACTGACTCACACCCAGTTCCAGGTCCGGGCGGTCCCTCAGCCCTATCAGCATTACTTAGCTACACCTCGGATGCACCACTTCCCCAGAAGCACATCCTCGACACAGATGGTAAGTGAAACACTTTTACCAAGAAATGTTTTATGCATTGTCTGCCAGAAGGCAGTCAAAATAAAGGCTGCTATCTTTCTATCACCTGTCTTCTGCGAATCCCACTTATCTCCGGCCGTGGGAGGGAGTGTCTGAAAGGATAATGTCACATCATTGCGCTCTGGATTAGGGAAAGGAAAGGAAAGCTCAGCTACTCTGGAAAGGTTCGGTCCATCGCATGCAGCACCATGCTCACAAGCTGCTCCACAAAACCTGGGCAGGATGGGAGAGGCTCAGCAGTTATTACTAATAACATAGTAATTACTAACACTGGAACAAATTGTGGGCTCCCAGGACTTTTTGTGTGCGGAAGTATTGGCAGTAGGTGACTCCTTCCCCTGGGCTCAGCCCGGAGGACCATCCCTCATCACATCGTTGCTCTCTACCTCAGCCTTGATGCCATGTGTAAAGGTTTTGCATGAGTTCTTGCACAGGTGGAGATGGGGTTTGACGAGAAGATGGGCTGACTGGGGTCACTTGCTGGCCCTGCTCCCCGCAGGGTGCTGTATTTGGAGCTGAGCCATGCCAGGCACTGCTAATCCTTAAAGAATCCTCAGGAAGGTGTTTTTTCCTTCTGTGTCCATAGTCGGACCCTGTGTGCCACAGCAAGGCTTAAAAATTCAAAGCCTGGATGAAGTGAAATCTGCCCATTTAAAACTAAATAAAATAAAATCTCTTTTTAAGCTAATCCATGTTGAGAGTTTGGTACTGAAATGTCATAGATGCAACAGGGATTATTATAACAGGTAGTTTATTCAGAAGAAATGCATGTTCTTAGTTATTATTTATAGGAGATCTATTTAATAAAACCTCATTTTTTGGTTATTAAAAGTCTTCCATTGGGGAAGGTGTCATTCTGCTCTTTCATTTTGAATTTTTAAAGCTCTAGATTTAAATCAAGGTACACAAGGGATTTCTACGTGCAAGTACAGGTGGCTTTATTTTTCTCCCTCATTTCTTGCAGGTTGTTCATGAAATCAGAAATTACCCTTATCCTCAGCTTCAGTTGCTTGCTCTTCAGGGACTGAACCCAAGCAGGCACACGTCCGCTGTGCGGGAGAGCTATGAAGTACGTATCTCGGGGACTGGAATTATTATAAAAATTTTAAGTGCTGGGAATCTATGCAAGCTCTGGCATAAACTTGTAAGACTATTTTGTGGCATGGCAGTTGCATTGAGTCTTGCAGAAATTTTAGTAATAACAGGGAGGCGAAGGGGTTGAGTGAGTTTGGTAAAAGATGGTTTATTCCAGGGTGCCTGGGTCTGGTTTGGGTTGACTCTGGCTCACTTCATGTCTGTGAACAAAGTGCTTCCGTTCTACGGGGCTTTGTTTCCCAGCCTGTCAAATGGGACTCAAATTCCACCCTAACTTCTGAAATATTGGATGTCCAGCTCTCTGTTCTCTGCCCTGAACCCCTAGTTATTGGTCCAAGAGCCAGGGCTCAGATCCATCATTTAAGCACAACTGATTTGGGTTTGATGGACATTTCCACTGAGGAAAGGGCAGGAGGGAGCCTTGTTTCCCAGCAGGAAGGGCGGGTGGTGGGACCTCAAGCCCCGGGAGCAATGCTGATGGTGCTTTGCTGCTATTCCTGTGCTGCAGGAGCTGCTGCAGCTGGAGGACAGGCTGGGCAGCGTGAGCCGGGGCGCCGTACAGAACACCATCGAGAGGTTCACCTTCCCCCACAAGTACAAGAAGGTGAGAGCCCCAAAACCACGGCACAGCTGCCAGCCCCTCTCAGTTGGCCAAGGGTTGTGGGCACAGAGTGGACAGAAGGACAGACTTTGGTGGGTCGCAATCCTTAGGGTTGGCAAACTGGCACCATCAATCGAAATATTCCCTGAAATGGGGGAGGAATGTAAAGTTCAGAATTGGTGTTTTAATATCTTGTGGGGCTCCCTGACTGAAGCGGTGGTGTAGCTCAGCTGGCTGTTTCTCACTTCTAGGCTAGGAAGCTGCGGGCCAAATTATCAAAAGGGTCTCAACCTTCTCCCACCCAGCGGGTGCAATTTCCCCCCTGTCCGCACCTGGTAAGAAAGTGCACACACCAAGGGGGCTTCGTGCATGCAAACCCACCCCGTTCTGCATGCAAGTGGCGCTGCCCGCGCACCCCACTGTGAGGGCTCCATGGCGTGGGGGATCTTGTCCTCCCCTCGTTTTGCAAGAGGTGTATCCTCTGTTGGAGCTGATCTCCTGCCCATAAGGAAATGGGTGCCATGTTTTTGGGTTGTGCTAAATAGAAAATGGGAAAAGTGCTTGTCTGCATAGTAATTTCACATGTTGGTCATTCCTGGTTGGGCAGTAGCAAGTAGGGACGTTGCATTGCCCAAGTTGGAAGTGAGTCAACTGCTGCTGCTTATCTCTGACTGCATCTCCAGTGGATCCAGAAAAATTATATTAATAGGAATGGATGTGTGGGGGGAAAAGGAGAGAGTTGACAGGCTAAGCACTGCCCCATGGTGCAGTGTGGGCCTCGGCCAATGGCCAAACTGGTATGGAGGACAGTGGTTGCCCTTCCTGGCAGTGGTGGCCCCACATGCTTTGGGGTCTTCAGGAGAAGTCTCCAGCAAAGGAGACCATGGGGCCATCCCCACTGCAAGGAGGGTGGATGAGGTGGCAGGGGGCTGTGTTAGGACAGCAGAGGACAGGCTGCTCCTTGGACAGGCTGGCTACCACCATCCCCACTGCCACTGGCCCACAGGAGGAGACGTGCCGACCAGCAGCATTTTGGTGGCATCCTCCCCTCACTGGCTGTTTTGGTTGGACTGGCTTCCCCAAGCTGGAGGATCTGGCTGACAGATGAAGCTCTTATTATTTGCCTTCCTACAACTTCCCAGACTTGGGAGAGCATTAGAAAGTCAAGTTCTAACCAAATTATGTCTTTAACCTTGCTGCAGAGAAGACCACAGGAGGGCAAGGCTGAGCAAGAAGATGGAGAGGAGTCAGACACTGATGAGAAATGCACAATCTGTCTGTCCATGCTTGAAGATGGAGAAGACGTCAGGTACGATCCTTCCATCTGCTCCTCTGCCTCTCAACGCTATCTGAGTTGTGTTTATTGGGATTAATGCTGCTGTGTGCTGGTGGGGTTGTCCCTGTTCTTGTCCTGACAAACTCACTTGGGCTGTTGCAGGGTCTGAGAAACCAAATGCCATTTAGATGGATATTGGTATGGGCTGTAGGTAACAAGAGCTCTGCAGCAGCAGGAGGGCCAAGTTTTAATAGTGTCTTCTGGGTTTGGATCACCTGCTTCAAGGCTGTGCCAATGGGGCAGGTGGCAAGTGTCACAGAAGGATGGGTCCCAGGTCTCAGACAGCCATCTGGAGCTCAGGGTTGTCAACGGCTGAGCTTGACAGACGACCAAAGTATGATAAAAGGGAGTACGGGTGTGAAGTCCAGGGGAGTTTGGCTTGTGGCCAGGACAGAGCTGCTTTATTGTAGAATAAGTGAGATTGCTCTGCCCACATGGTCACAGGGAGCTGTCCTAAGCCAACAACAAAGCCCCAGTTATCCATCACAGATGTCCCCAGGCTCTTGGCTGGGTCAAATCAAGCAATTGCAAGGGGCTGAGCTACTATGGCTCACTGCAGGTGGGCAGTGCAGCTGCACTGCCTGGTCCTGCTCCTCACACTTTAGTTGCCTTAAACCATCAAGAAAAACTCTGATCCCCTTGCTGAGGATCCTTGTGGTTCAGGGTCCCTCCAGCTCGCGAGGGTGAAGGGATGACAAACGGTGATGTAGGTGAAAAGCAATCACATTCCCTGGGGCACACCAGACACCCACCACCACCTGACTGCTAATGAGCCGCAACAACGAAGAACCAAGAGGCTTTGGAGTATAACCTAATACTCCTGAAATGTTAAAAAGCAGCAGCCAGGGTAATTAATAACTGGAACAACTCAATTCAGGAGGGTGTGGGGTTTTATAACAGACTTTTAATCAAGAAGGACACCATCTCTGACCTACTGCCCTATCTGAGCTGGCGTGGCTGGGGAAGTCTGTAGGACCTAGACACCTTCCCCGTGTTTGAAGCAGCCCCGGCTGCTGCTTTCTGGCTCTTCTTGGTCCCCTGGCCCTCTTCCATCCTAATGGGGTGGTACTTGTCTCTCTGCAGGCGGTTGCCCTGTATGCATCTCTTCCACCAAGTGTGCGTGGACCAGTGGCTGGCCACCAGCAAGAAGTGCCCGATCTGCAGGGTGGACATTGAAACACAGCTCGGCTCGGACAGCTGAAAGGACTGGCTGGACACACCATTTTCCTTACCAGGTCGTATGGCCATAAACCCTTGCAGCAAAATTTTTGCCTTCTGAGCCATTTGATTGAGAGGAAAAGTCTGCAGGCACGTTAGTGAGGAGGAGGAGGAGGCGGTACAATATCTAGCAGTAGGAGATATTGCACAGACGCAGGATACGGGCCCGGTGAAAGGGAGCTGGCATTCCCGGAGCTCAGAGACCCCGTGCTGCAGAAGATTTAGTGTTGAACATGAAGGAACTAGTTGTGGTAGTCTGGCCTGTCAATCCTGCATTTCATGAGGATTGTATATATACCTCTCGAATACGTAGACACATGTTAGGGGTCCTTTAGCTATTTCTATGGATGGCAGCTGGAGCATGTTAGCTTAAGAAATGTTGTGTTTGATGCCCTACTCATCTTGTGGTGGACATGTTGCTGTTACCTAATTTGCACCAAATATTTTTTCATAGATTCCTTATTTTGGTGCCTGATTAATACATTGAAGAGGGGGAATAAAGAGGTCAAGCTTTCCCACCCTTGGGGGGGAAGAGGCGAAAAAGCAAAATCCTGTTTACAGTCAGAAGGGTTGCGCTCTTTGCCTCAGCCGCGTGTGCTTCCTTTCCTTGTGTTTACAGTGTGCTGCAAATTTAGAGAAGCTTAAAAAAATAAAAATTTGGAATGAAATGAATGAAGC